GAGCCTTAGCTCCTTCACCTATAAAATGGGGCTTGTTCATTTGGATCTTGTGTTCTAGTCTATAAATCACTGGTAGATGATTATGATGTAGGGACTAACTTAGGACACTGTTCCTCCTGAAAAGAGATGGGTTAAGGGAAGAAACACTATATGAAGAACTACTGCATAATAGATGAATGAGGTTATGCCAACTCTCCTTCTCCCTCAGGGAGCAGGGAGAGAGCTACCTGGATGGGCCAAGTTTGCTGGGCAGGACTGGTATCTTTGGGCACTCTGAGTTAAGCAGCCATGCCCAGCCCAGAAGGTCTGTGCTGATATTCAGTGTGCATGAGTGCCCATTATATGCCATGCACTGAACTGGACTAAAAATATTCTTGGAGGTGAGGAAGTGTGATACTTCCTAGTGAGTATCAGAGGGCTCTGGTCCCCATCCCAGGCCCTTATTGTAGAAGGAACTGGCTGGGTTTCTATACTAGTTTTTGTTTTTATTTTTATTTATTTATTTATTTATTTTAAAGATTTTATTTATTTATTCATGAAAGACGGGGCAGGGGGAGAGAGGCAGAGGGAGAAGCAAGCTCCCAAGGAGCAGGGACCCCGATGCGGGACTCAGTCCTAGGACCCCAGGATCATGACCTGAGCTGAAGGCAGACGCTTAACCATCTGAGCCACCCAGGCGCCCCTAGTTTTTGTTTTTAAAGATTTTATTTATTTTGAGAGACAGAGAGCATGAGAGGGTGGGGGGAGGGGCAGCGGCAGAAGGAGAGAGAGAATCTCAAGCCGACTCCATGCCGAGGGCGGAGCCCACGACTCTAAGATCTTGACCTGAGCCGAAATCAAGAGTCAGATGCTTAACCGGCTGAGCTACCCAGGTGCCCTGGGTTTCCATACTTGTGAGCATGACTACTCCCCACACCTCCCCCCCCCGCCATCATGCATTTACTTACTGATATCCTCAACAAACCATCATTTTGCCAAGTAGAGGGGGTACAGAATGACCTCCTAGTCTGGGAGCAGTAGGTAGGGGGCTAGGCATAGATATTTTCAACCAGGGGTTGAAGACTTCCTGCCTCTGGGGCTACATAGATTTTTTTTGTGGTGGCCAGAGGGGTGAACTTGAGAATATATAGGGGACACCATGATCTTGCTTCTGCATCTAGTGGTCCAGTGCGTGAGCTGGCTCAGTTCTGCCAGACCTGCTGATTTCTTTTTTTTTTTTTTTTTAAGATTTTATTTATATGAGAGAGAAAGAGCTCCCGCGCACGCGCATGGGGAGAGGGAGGGTCAAGCAGACTCCCTGCTGAGCAAGGAGCCCCACGCGGGGCTCCACTCCAGGACCCGAGGATCATGACCGGAGCTGAAGGCAGATGCTTCACCGACTGAGCCACCCAGCGCCCCAACAAGGGCCCAAGTTTTCATTTTGCCCTGGGCCCTGCAAATTATGCAACTGGTCCTAACTGTAGGGAAGGTCTGAGCCCACCTGGTGAGGGGAGAGGGCAGAAGGGATGGCGGGAAATGAATCAGAAAGGGCGTCAGTTGCGGCATCTGGGTGGCTCAGTCGGTTAAACATCCGACTTTTGATTTCAGCTCAGGTCATGAGATTGAGCCCCAAGTTATGCTCGGCGCTGGGCGTAGGGCCTGCTTAAGATTCTCTCTCCCCGTCCCCTGCGAGCTCTCTCTCTCCTTCTCCCTCTCTCCCTCTGGAAAGAGAAGAGGGGGGTCCTCAGTAGTACCTGAGGGAAGAGATGAGCAGTGTAACCACAGGACTCAGGCAGGGCGAGCCTGGGGTTTAATCTACTGCGGGGAGGTTGAGGCTGTGTGTGTGAGTGTGACTGACATGTGTCAATGTGAGTGTGTGATGTGTGTGGGAGATTGTGATTGACATGTGCCAGTGAGTGTGACTAACGTGTGACTGTGATGTGTGAATGGGCAGAGTGTGAGTGGACTGACGTGTGTGTGTGACTAATGTATGAGTGTGTGGTATGTGTGGCAGAGTGTGAGTGTGACTATAAGGTGCGAGTGTGTGTGAGTGTGTGTGATGTGTGGAGGGAGTGTGTGACGTGACAGTGGCTGTGGGTGTGACTGGGATGTGTGTGCGCGCACGTATGGGAGTGGTGTGGCTGTGCAAGACCGCGGAGTGTGTGAGAATGTGTGTGGGGTGGGGGTGTGCAAGTGTGTATGAGTGTGTGTGAGCACCTGTGTGGTATCTGTGAGTGTGTGTGCGAGTCTGTGACAGTGTGTGCAGAGGGGGAGGTGGTGGCCGGGGCAGGGAGAGGCAGGGAGAGTCACCGGGCAGTTTAACAAATATTTATTGAGCACCTTCTGTGTGCCAGGTGCTGTGCAAGGTGCTGAGATGAGTGAGCCGCGGTCCCGGAGGCCCTCGCAGCCCGCAGGGGAGAGAGAACTGGAGTGAAAGAGCAGACTGAAATAAACCCTTCACGAAACTACAACTTTACCCACCTCACCCAGGAGGGCAGGGAAAGTTAGACGTCCCCAGAACTGGTGTTGGGTGGGGGGAGGAGAATCTGGGCCCTCTCTCCGGGAGGCCCAGGGCCAAAGCCCACCCCGCAGGCACACCCAAACATGGGAGGGGTGACCTCCCTCCGACCTGCCCCGCAGCACACCCACCCGATTCCACAGAAGCAGATAAGAGGTGACCAGCAGCCAGGGGGCACAACCTAAACAGCCCAGCCCCACCCAAGGAGCCGCACACCCCTGGGCGGAGGCAGGGCCCATCTCTGGGCGGGGTCAGCTCAGTGGCTCCAGAGCCGGTGAGAGCTGGGGGTAAGGGTGGCCGACACCTGACAGAGAAGACGCGAGGAGGGGACCGAGAAAGGCCAGCCTTGGGCTCTGCGTGGGGCTCTGCAGCGTCCTGAGGGGGAAGAGGCTGGAGAGCAGTGTTGGGGCGAAAGACAACTTGAGTAAGAAACATGTCGCTCGCCGGGGCCAGAGGAGCCCTCCCTGCCTCCCCAGCGCCAGGGCTGCCCAGGCGCCCTCCCGGGCTCCCCTCCCAGAGCTGCAGCGTGGGGGTACTGCCGCCCGGGCTCCCGCAGAGGCAGGAGCCCTCAGATCGGGCCCCGCGGGGGTGACCTTGGACCAGCCACTAGCCTCATCAGGGACATGGGGACGCCCAGTCTCCTCAAAGGGCTATGGTGTGGATGTAATGAGATAATGGGATGAGGAAAGCACCTCATAAATGGAAAATGGCAGGACAAAGGTCAGAGTGTAGTGCTGGGCCCAGAGCCGCCTCCCAGCCCTTCAGCAGAGGACAAAGGGGCTCAGCCCCAGGGTCCCAGCTCCCCTCCCCCACTCAAACCCTCGGGTGGGCACCCCAAGGCCAGTGGCTCCGTTTTAGAACTGAAGACACTGGGGAGCAGGGCAGTGTGCTCCGAGTTCCTAAGGTTCGTCCTGCACTCCTGGCTAGGCAACTCCAGCAACAACGGTCACCTCTTTAGGGTATGAAGACCCCCCCCCCAAGATAACACGGGCCGAAAAATTAGTGGTGCTGGGGCACCTGGGTGGCTCAGATGGTTAAGCATCTGCCTTCAGCTCAGGTCATGATCTCAGGGTCCTGGGATCGAGCCCCCCATCGGGCTCCCTGCTTGGCGGGAGGCCTGCTTCTCTCTCTCCCTCTACTGTTCCCTCTGCTTGTGCTCTCTCGCTCTGTCAAATAAATAAATAAAATCTTAAAAAAAAAAAGAAGGAAAAATTAGTGGTGCCTAGCACCTCTTCATTTCTAAAAAATGAGGTCATTCTTAGGCTAAGTGGCCGAAGGCTCCGCAGCCGAGAGGTAGCCTGACCGGCACAGAGACCAGGGCTGTTTGAGGCTAACCCTTCCCCTTACACACTTCGACTAACCTGCTTGTGCAGTCATAGGAATACTTTGTCCAAAATGGCTCCAGAAGATTCTAGCTTCTTTCATGACCGCCCTAGCCTCTCCAACCAACTTCCCGACTTTCCTTTTTATTATTCCTTATTTCTCCAGAGCAAGGCCCACTTCCACACGTCTGGTTTTCTAAGCTCCCTTCCTTACCCACAGCCTTCAGTGAATAATCTGATATTTCCAAGACAACTAAACAGCATTTTAAACTTATAAAATGCCTTTTTAATGTGCTCTCTGGAATGTGAAGCCTCAAACTTAAGGAGCTTTCCACTGGAAGATATTCTTCATGAGGAACCATACGTAGTAAAATCCTCTCTTAGAACCTGGCTGCAATATCACTGTGGAGACAGAGCAATAGTTCTGGAATGTACTGAGGATTAGGTCAGAAGAGCCCTAACTCTGGGGACACCCCCAGGGTAAAAGCTACTGAGCACCAAGGTGCTGCCCTAGGGGCCTTGGCTGAGTTGCTGGCCCCATTGAACCTCACTTTCTGCATCTGTAAAATGGGAGGGATAAATCTCTCTCTCTTTTTGGGAGAGGATCAGGTGGGCTGAGAGGCTGTCTGGCACAGTGCCTGGCGTACACGAGGCTGGCAAATGTTTATTCCTTCCCCCCTTCTTTCTTATCAAGTACTCCTCTCCATTTTGTTTTCTCTGTTTTGGGGCCAACATGGTTGGAATCTGAAGCATCTATCCCATAAGGCTCGATACGTAATTCTAGACTTCTTACAGAGTGTCGAATCCAAACCCCAGCCTTTCAGCAAGGAAGCAGGCCCAGAGGGCTGACTTGGCCAAGGTCACCGCACGAATGTGTGGCGGCAGCCGGGCTGGCCCAGTGTCTGGCTGGCCGAGCTCATGCCCTTGCTTGCACGGAGCCTGGGAAGCTTTCAGTCTCACCTTGTTTCCTTTGCTTGCCCTCCAGCCGCCCCCACCCCCCCGGGGGCAGCTTGTCTGTAAACGGAGCCCTCCTGCTCTAGGACACCTGTCCCTACCCTGCAGGCCTGCCTCTGCCTTCACCCCCAGCTGGGTAGACCTCCTGCCCCGGCCCCTCCTCCAACCCCAGGGCCTCATGCACTCCAGAGGCCCAAATTTCAGTATGCAGGTAGCTAAGACAAAGGTTAGAAAAAGCGCAGAAGACACTTTATTGGAGGTCTCTGCTTCCATTCACGGGAGAAAGGAGCCAGGAGCCCCAGTCTGAGGGTCCTGGCATCTCCCCGCCCCTCACTGGCCCAGCCGAGGGCCTAGAACGGTCAGTCTGACCACGAACACACGGTGGGAGAGGAGCGGGGAGGGGAATGTCTTAGAAAAAATAGATCTCTATGTACATCTGACGTATTTATAGCACATAAATTACGGAGTGCTCTGACCCCTGCCTGCGGAGTCCATGCACTGAGATGGAAGCCGGTCCGGAAAGCAGGGGGCAGGAGGACCCCGTCCTGTCCCCTCTCTCGCAGCACCCCTGCTGCTGCTCCCCCTGGCCTCCTTGGCTCAGCCCAGGCATGTTGAGGCGGAAGGCATCGTCTGTAGCTGCTGTCTGGGTTGGGTCTAGGAGGCATCAGGTAAGAGGAACGATGCTGGCAGCTGTGGTCAGCCGACCGGTCACCTCAAACCCCAGGGCTCGTAATTCCAGGAGGAGGGCAGAGAGGAGAGGCCACAAGCCCCACATCCCAGGATGACGGCTGAACAAGGAACCCGAACCTCAGCTTCTCTCCATGGCACGGCCCCAGCCTGCCTGAATGGTGGGGGGGCCTGGCGGTCCTCCCAGGAGGGGGCTGCAGGCCTCAAGTCTGTGCGTTTGGTCCTGGGTCCCGTTCGGACCCTCAGTTCCGACTCCCAGCAACCTCTTCCTCCTTCCAGCCGCTGGAGTTTTTGCCGAACTTGTAGACCAGCCGCCGGCCATCCACCCGCTCCAGTATCTCCCGTTTGTAGTAGTACCTGGGTGCGGACAAGGGTGGTCAGACGGGCGCAGGCAGGGAGCAGCCTGGACTGCTGATGCCCCCCCCGGCCCCAATATCCTCGCGGGGCCTGGCCCACTGGGTTCCAGCCTGAGCCTGACCCACTTCCTGCAGCTTTCTTCTCCCCTCCGGCAGGTAAGATCTGTGTCTGCCATTCCCCATGATGGCACTCCGGCCTAGAATGGTGTCCACAGTCCCTGGTACTACCCATGCCTCTGTCCTGGGGCTTATCATGAAACCACGTGATTTTAGGGCTGGAAGGGACCTTAGTGATCGTTCAGGGGGAGACTGAGGTCCAGACAAGCAATCTAATTGATTCAACAGGGGGAGAGCCAGGTCTTGGTGGAGGCCTTGGCTCAAGCTCTTTTCACCACTAAGAACTTTTCTCAGGACAAGCCTTGCAGATAATGCAAAGACATGTTGCCAGAGAGTTTGCTGTGTTTGCTATGCCGACCTACTGCTTTCTCCACGTCATCCTTTAATCCGCGAAGTGCGCAGACACTATTAACCTCACTCTACAGGACTCAAACCTGTCAGGAGGGTGGTGGTCAGAGAGAGCCGTGGGAGCGGGGACACGCTGTCCCCGGCAGCACCCGCAGGACCCCGGGCACCTGCTCACCTCATGGCTCTGCTCAGCTTCTCGTAGGTCATGCTGCTGTTCTTCTTCTTTTGGCCCCAAAGCTGGGCCACAGCCTCTGACCGCAGGAACTTGAAGACACCCTCTTGCCGGTTCTCCCACTTCATGAGGCCTTCATTGAGTTCCGGGTGGATGAGGATGTCCCGGATAAACTCCCACAGGTGGGTACCTCTGGGGGCTGCAGGGCCAGAGGCTTCGGTCAGAGGCCAGGGTAGCCCCTCTCTTCCGAGGCCAGCGGGCCCCGCCCGGCCCGGCACACCGCCCACGGATGGCCGCGCCGTGTCAGGGCTGCTCCCTCCCACCCGCCTCCCCCACCACACGGGGACTGCCTCTCACGCAGCACAGATGTCTTATGCACTCAAATATTGATCCTCTGTCTGGCTGGGATTTGAGAGTGATCGAGACGCACTACCGCCTGAAGGGGCCCATGGTTCGGTGGGCGCCACCAGGAAAACAACCAACACCAGGGCCTGAGGCCTGCAGCAGGGCATGGTCCTCTGCCTGAGCCCCCTGTGGCCCCGCGGGCCCTCCCAGCACCCACCAGCTGCCCCCTCACACCGCCGAGGGCGTCCCAGCAGGCAGGACAGAGTAAGTGCCTAGAGAACTGGAGTGGGTGGGCTGGGAACCTGGGCTCTAGTCCCACGGGCCTTCTTCCAGGGGCCTCAGTTTCCCCCCCTCTCCAGGACCACTGACCGAGGCTCTGCAAGGAGGTGGTGACCAGTGTCACACAGCCTCGAGGCCCGTGCACAGCCGTGATGGCGGGAGGGAGGAGCGGTGTGGACAGCCGGCGACCACAGGAGAAAGAAGCCCCAATGGTGCCACAGTGAACCTGCCGCCCGCCCCACCCCCCAGGCCTCAGAGCAAAGTGGGGAGACCCCAGGAGCTCACCATGCTTGCTCTTCTTGCCCTCCAGACACTCCCGAGACTCTTTGCTCAGCTTTCGAGGCCGACCCCGTTTCCGCTTCCCATGCTTAGGATCCCCCTTCTTATAGTCAGGAAAGCCGTCTAAGACAGAGGAGGTGCAAGGTCAGGAGGGAAAGGAATGGGGGGCTTGAGGGGGCAGCTCCTGTACCGGAGGGAAACCCTGCAGGCGAGCAGGGATGAAGGGAAGGATCAGCCCCATGGGCACTGCCCACTGAGTCCCCCACTCACCCCTAGAGAAGAGCTTGCTGTCACTGGGATCCAGGTCCACATCACTTGCACCGGAGTCTGAGGAGTGGGGACTCTGGGAAGTACCAGTCCCTGGGGGGGGGGGGGGGGGCGGGGGGAGTCCATACCTTCTGGGGGGCCGCTGCCCAGCCCGCTCCTGTTCCTCGCAGGAAGCCTGGGCTCTAGTGCAGTAACCAAGGGCTGCGGGATGTTTCGGGGAAAGGGAGGCTGTGGCCTGGACGAGGGTGCTCACCTGCGGTGGAGACATCGGAGCTGCCGGGGGAGGGGGCTCCTGGGCCGTAGCTGCCAGGGAAGTAGGGGCCGGCCTGCCGGCCCTCCTCCAGCATCTCTTGGCTGAAGGGGCTTCCCTGGTCTGGGAAGAGGAGTTAGGGTTCAGACAGGGTTCAGAGGAACAGGCAGGGATACTAGGCCACCCAGAGGTCCAATGAGCTGCTGTTTTTCTAGCTGGGGGAGACAGAAGTCTGGCAACCGAGGGTCAGCTCTAGCGCTCTGGGTAGAGGCTGGGACGGGACAGGACAAGCTAGGGGACGATCGAGAAAATGAATTCTCACCAAAGGGGCCCAGGGTCTCCTGGAAGGCCATGCTGTCCTTCTCCAGCAGCTCAATGATCCAGCTGAGTTCGTCAGGAAAGCTGGAAGCTGATTGGGAAGGGAGGTGGGGTCAGCGCCCAGGCAGGCATCGCACTCCCCGCTCCCCTCAGGGCTTCCTTCGCGGTCTGTGTCCACTGGCCTGGGGCTGCGGGTCCTTCCCGCAGCCCTGCTGGCCTCAGCTCGGGGTGTGGGCCGGTCCCTAGGCCAGCCTCCCCAGCTGAGAGGGAGGCCTCCCCCTCCAGCCCTGGGCTCCCGGGGGCACCAGCGGCCGGGACTCACTGAGGTCCCACAGCTGGGAATAGAGTTGGTCCCCCAGAGGCCCGAAGACTAGGCGCAGCTCCTCGGGGGCACAGTTGCAGAGCGTGGCCCCGTCCATGTCACACCGCGAGAAGTCGATGGAACTCGCGTCGTATTTGTTCTTCTCCACTTGGTAGCTGATCCAGTCCAGAACCTGGGCCTTTGACCAGAACTGGGGCTGCTTCCCCGACCAGCTGGCCTTCTCTACAAGGGACAGGGCACAGCGTCAGGTCAGCTTGAGCCACCCGGACCCTCACCGCCCATTTCTGGCGCCCATTTGGGCTTCTGTGTGCATCCCCCACCCCACCCCTCCACCCCCACGTCTCAGAGACCCTCCCAGGAGGAGGGGCAGGGGGCGGCATTCACAACACCTTCGCCCAGCACCTCACTTAAGTCGGTCGCTGTCCCTCAACCCCAATACCTCAGCCTCTTACAAGTCACCCCAGCCCCTAGTGCTGGAATTTGCTGGGGGGACCCTCCTCCCTGCCTGATTTCCCCATTTATCTAACAGACTCTTAGAGGGATGTCTCTCCCTCCCCCAAACACCCCATCCCATCTGCTGAGACCCACCTGTGCCCTCCAGTGGCATCTGGGGGTTACTCAGGGTCAGCACCAGGTCATCAGCCCCAAAGGTGGCGGCAGGGGGGACGGAAGTCAGAGCGGGCTCTTCTGAGCTGTACATAGTACTGAAGTAGTTGCTAAAGACGTTGCTAATCTCACAGGTTGCAGCCATGAGGCTACCTAGGGAGAGAGAGGCCAAGGCTGGTGAGGGCCAGGGTCCTCTCCTTATCCTCTGGCTCTTCTGTTCCATCCAAGCCTGGGGCAGGAGGAGCCCCAAGGCGGGGGGGCGGTGAAGGTCACTATCTCTTTGGACGCCCTCCCTTCATGGAGGGCTTCAAGACCTCAGAGCCTGCTGCGGGCACCAGGCCTCCTATGGGCCCCCTCCTCAGCCCCCCTGGGCCCTTGGGTGGGACTGGCAGAGTTAGGGCCACTGTGTCCCTCCCAGAGACAGTGCCTCTGCTACCTTCAGGGCACTCCCACTGCCTGACACTCCTGCTCAGGGGCCCTACAGTGCGCAGCTGCAGTGGGTGGGTTTAGAAACTACACATCCCCTCGACCCCTCTCCGTTTCCCAGGGCCCAGGCTGGGCAATATGACAGGTGGGGGGGTCCTACCTGACTGGTGGAGTGTGGGTGTGGCAGGCAGGCAGGATTAAGGGACAGTAGGCAGGCAAGAAATCCAGGAGGCCAAAAGCTGCGCCAGGTAGCTCTGAGGCGTCTGGCCCGCGCTCCCCCACCCTCCCTAAATAGAGGCGTTTGGGAGCTCCTCCCCGAGCCCAGGGCTTTATAGTGCACCCGGCGGTAACCTGAGCTGGTGGCTCATTGGACGGAGGGGATTTCCTGGCCTTTAGACTGGGCTTCTGGCCCCAGGTGATTTGCATATTTTGTGCCACTTGGCCCGGATCCTGGCAGGCGGTGCTGGGAAATCAGGCCCGGCTGGTTTAATGATTGTCAGAGTCTGTCATCCCGCACCCTCTGGGGTTGGGCACAGGGCACTGGCCTGGGCGGGTGGCAGGAGAGTCGCTGGGGTGGGCATCTGTACTTTCCGCCACCCACTGGCGCAGAAAATTCCTCAGGGGGGCCAGGCCTGGGATGGGCTGGCAGGGGGAAGAGAACAGGGTAGAACTGGGGAGGAGAACTGCTAGTCCCCAAACGGGTAGAGATCTGAGGGCAAGGAGGCCTCGTAGGGAGAGCAGATGGTGGGGTCGAGGGCATTTTCCGACAACGCCCAGGATTCCTGCTGGAAGGCTCTCCAGACACTAGGCAATATTCATGGGCTCGTCCAGCCTAGCCTTAGGGCCCCAGCGTTCCTAGGGTCCCCAGTAGTCTGCTCGCTGGCATCTACTTCGGTGGTAAAGTCTTGACACGCTTTGCCCACCCGGACCCCCTGCAAGCTGCTGTCACTTCTGGAGAAGCCTGGCTCTCCCTCAGCCCCAGCCGGAGCCCTCGGACCCTGCAGGTGCTGGAATCCGCGTGGCCGTGTTTATCCCGCGCCGTCAGGTCTCCTTTCTAGTCTCCCCGCCCTCGGCCCAGTTGACCCGTACCTGTCTGCTACCCTCTAGTGGCCAGAAGCCTGCCTCCCTGGGTCCTAGCATTCCACGAAGAAAATGGAACGCTCAGTATTCACCATTTACCAGGCACTTGTAACGTAGTCTCCACTTAAAACTCACACAAATGCTAAGGAATGTAGGATTGTCTCCAATTTTAAAGCTGAGAGCATCCTAGCTCAGAGGGGTTTTGTGTCTTGCCCAGGCCACACGGAGCTGGTTAAAGTGGTGGGGCTGGTGCTCTTTCCCCATAGCAGGCTCGACCTGGCTTCAGGGTCATCCGGCTCAGTGGCTCAGAGGCTCGGGCAGCCCCTCGCCCTCCCCACGGGCACAGTGAGTCCTTTGTGTCTGTGGTCCCGTCTATGAACGCAGAGCCCACTGGAGACCCTGAGCACGGGCAGCAGAGGTTGGGGGGAGGAGGCAGGAGACCCAGGTGACTCCCAGGTGACTCCCCAGCTACATGATTCTGCTTGTCCCACTGGTAAAAATGAGGTTGTTTGGACTTAATAATCCCTAAGATCTCTTCCAGATCTAGCTTTTTATGCATCGAAGATGTAGGATTTGAGTGTCTCTTTCCCTACCTCCTTTGTTAATGCCACAACCCTGCATGGTTCGTGGCCAAGCTTAGCCTCGGTGAGTGAAATGGCTCCTCACACGGTGACCCCCCCCTCCAGAGCTGCCCCCTTCTCTCTGGAGCCAGATGACTAAGAAGGCCACCTCCCGGAATCTTCTCTTTGTCCCTGAAACTGCTGCACCCTAGGAGAGGGGCTTAGGGTCCAGGGCCCCCTCCACTGGGGTGGCAGGAGAGCCTGGGGCTCTGGCGGTAGGATTTTCCCCAGCCCTTCAGGGGGCCTCCCCCAAGGAGCCTGAGGCGGACACACCCTCCACCCAGTCACTCACCCTGGAATGTGGGAGAACCGGCTTCTAGCCCCAGGATGGCTCACATGCTCCCCTGCCCTGGGGGACACCTGGCTCAGGCTCCAGAAGGTGGGATGAGAAGGATGTTTGCCTTCCCCCGGCTTCACAAAAGAAATGGGGCTGAGATAAGGAATCCCTATAGGCTAGCACCTTATCTCCAAGTATTAATGCTCTCAATAGCCCAATAGTGGGTGATGTTATGGAGGGTAAGCGGGAAAGACTTCAGTCTGAGGTCAGTGCCTTGGAGGTAGAGTGGGGAGAAGGTTCTAGGATAGTGGTCAGAGGAGCTGTGGAGTAGGCAGCCTTCCCAATACCCTGCCCATGGCAGGAAGAGCCCGTTGGTCCTCCCCATAAAGCTTGCCCAGACGACGTCACAGCCTCATCTTCGGGATACAGGATGGCAAGCACTGCCTCCCAGCCCTATAAAAGGATAGGCACATCCAGCAGGACTGTTGGGTGGCAAAGGGGGTGAGCAAGGCAGGCAACACAACTCAGGATACCCATGCTGTGCACCGTGAGGATTCTCAAAGTTAGTGGGGTCAAAGAGCGGCTGTCAGAGGAAGGGCTTCCCCAGTGACCCTACTATTCTGCCGTAGGTGTTTGTGCAAACAAGGCAAGACAGCCATGGCTGTCAGAGCTGCTAAGCCAGCCACCAAGCTGGGGAGCAGGCGAGGCATCTGGATAGCCCTAAAATCATCCTTGCCTATAGCGTATCAACAGGGACAGCCCTGAAAGAGCTATGGAGACAGTCTGCTATCAGAGTGCCAGGGCCCAGAGGCGATCCTACAGTCCTGCGCCTCCAAACCCCTCTCCTCAGACCCAGAGTTCCCTCTCTGCTGGCAAAGCTCCGGGCGCGCCAGTGGACAGAGGCACTCACCAGCCTGCACCTGCTCACCGCCATTCCCTAACTTTTGCTAGGAGCGAGAACACATCAAGTGGCTACGCTGCATTTTTCTTCCCCAACCCAGTGGGGGGACAGCAGGAGGCCTGAATGGATAACCTCGAAGCCAGGGACACGACCACACATGGAGACCTGGTCAGGAGTGCCCGGTGTTGAAGAAAGGCAACTTAGGGGCGCCTGGGTGGCTCGGTCTGTTAAGCGTCTGCCTTCGGCTCGGGTCATGATCTCAGGGTCCTGGGATCAAGCCCCGCATCAGGATTCTTGCTCTGCGGGGAGCCCGCTTCTCCCTCTCCCTCTGCCTGCTTCTCCCTCTGCTTATGCTCTGTCAAATAAATAAATAAAATCTTAAAAAAAAAAAGGCAACTTAAATATATTTAAATATTGGGTTTATCTTCGAGACCCTCCCTCATCCCAAACGCAAACTGCTAACTGCTGAGATTCCTATGTTGAAAACCAGGAAATTGGAACTTAGTGCCAAGTTCTGAACCAACTCTGTTTCTTACCACACCATTAAAATACTTATCCAGGAAAAAAAAAAAAACTTATCCAGGATCAAAAGCAGGTGAGGCCCAATGAAGGATGGCGAGAAGGCCAGAGAAAAAAACACTAAAATACACATTTTTTAAGCAATGGAACAGATGAACAGGAATGGCCCTGCAGGTAGGGAACTTAGCTGCCTTCACAGAGAACTGGAATGAGGTTCGTTCGCTACAGGCGTGCAATGGGGCATACTGCCCTGTATTTTTCCATTGCAGGTGTGAGACCCCTACCTCCTATGCCCAGGAGTTCCCTGTGGACAGGGAAGTGCTGTCAGCCTCTGGGGCGCCCCCCACCCCACCGTGACCTTCTTAGAACATCTGCCCCCACAGAGGGCATGTGTGGAAGCAGAATTTTCACAGCCACTCAGGTCATAACTCCAACTTAAATACTTTTCATTTAAAAATATTTATTAAAATAAAGATTAAACCTGAAAAAATGAATTACCAGAATGCAGCCCTTTGCATAGTACTTCAAGAATCAGAAAAGAAGAAAAGAAAGAAAAGAAAAGAGGAGGGAAAAGAGAGGGGAAGAGAAGCATAAGAAAATCTCTGATCTTCCCCGACAGCAGGGGGAGGGAGAAGACTGCCCGCCCTCACCAAAGCCAGCAGAGAGCTGTGGAAGGTTCTCTGGTCTTAGGACTTGCTGGTCCAGAGAAGTTTCCACCAGAGCAGAGGCCCAAGAGTCACAGACACCAAGCCCAGAGACCAGATTTCCCCAAGGGTGTGTAAACTTCAGGAATTTGGCTGGAGAACTGGAATTTGGGAATATTCTGAAAGCCTGCAAAGTCTGAAGAGGCAGAAGCCAGGCCCAGAGCCTCTAATTGCCCTTGGGCGCCACGATCTGCTGGACGTAGTTGACTACATTGCTGTGGAGCTGGGGGGCAGTGGCCTCGAAGGTCTCCTTGGCAAGGGTCTGGGCCACCTTGCTGCCAGCCATCATTGCGTGGTACAGCGGAAGAGTATACTTCTGCTTCCCCTGCAAGAAACATACACACCCGTGGCTTAAGCAGACTGCTCAGTGAGTCGACACAGCCCCCGGCCCCAGGGCCGCTCCAACAGCAGGCCTCAGCAGGTGCCAAAGGGGATGTGGGTAGCAGTGCTATGAGGAGGCTCCCAGACAGGCGTGTTCTTATTCTGGCATCTTCTTGGGGCCAAAGATCCCTGTAGGTAGATCTCGGTATTCACTCCAATCCATGCTAGCACAGGGGTGTCTACACTCTAAGTAGGCTCCCCAGCGTGGAGCCCAACACAAGGCCTGAACTCACGACCTAGATCAGGACTGAGCTGATAGCAAAGGCTGCCGCCTATAAAACCGAGGGCCGCGTGAGGCCCAACTGCAGGCAAGCACAAGAAAACCCACAAGTCAAATTCCCACCCATGTGAGAAAGCCACATCACAAAGCTCCTCAACTCCAGAGGCTTGGAGAAGCCTGCAGAGGGCTCAGAACACCTCCAGACAGGAGCGCAGCTCCCACCACAAACGGATGAGGGCATCCGAGCGCTGCTTTGGACCCAGCCCCATCGTGCCCCGGGCTCTGAAGCGCTCTGGCCCTTCCCCAGCAGGGCCGCTCTCACGGGGCGCCCGAGGCTCCTGCTGGCCTCTGAGCCCTCCCAGGTCACAGGCTTCCCCAGGAAGCAGGAACCTATGATCTTACCCTTCACTCACCTCTCGTCCTTGGGCCCCTCGCCCCAAGACTGGCCCTGGAGTCCCGCTTTACCCTTTCTCCCAGTTTGGGGTTAGCTCTGACCCAGCTTGGACCCTTCAGGCCTCACCTGGTGATCTGCAAAAAGCTCCCCAACCCCAGAGGCTTCTTCCCGCCATGGGAACACCTCCCCCAGCCACACTCAGGAACCAGACCGCTGAGCTGGGTCCTCTCCCTTCCCCTCCCTCCTCTGCTCCACAGAAGGGCACATGGGGAGGCTCTACCCGCGGGACTACGGACAGTAGGTCGAGGCGGCCCACCATGTGGGCCTGAAGGGGACAAGGAGGTGCGGGTCACCCACCTGGCTCTGCAGGAATGCCTTCACTTTCCAGAAATCCTCCTGGTGGTCATTCTTAAGGACGATCTGGCCCCATCGTAGCCGGAGCTCTGCATTCTGGGAGTTTGAGATCTTTGGGTATGTCTCTCCGAGTGTCTTCACGTTCCCTGAAGAAAGAAAATGGGTTTTTAATGGCTGTGTCATCAGAGCCACGAGTGTGTCTGTCCACAGACCCTCGTGCAAGCCCCCGGAACGATGTCACGGAGGCTCCCGACCACCCACTTTACCTCATCCTGCTCACCTCAGTCTCCGAAAGGGCGCTGTCCGAGCCTTAAGTTTACCTTCATTTCTAAGGCTCTTCCACCAAACTTCCCTTAATGTAATTACAGACTTTCTGCCACCATCCTGCTTACCCTCCAGGTTAAAAGCCCAGGTATCCCCCTAAAACATGCTGCACCCCACCCCAGGTTTTTCTCCCCCCACCACTGAGCTGCTGAAAGTTCTCCCGGCTTTCACATGTTCTCTTTCCAACACCCCTGGGGGAATGTTATTTCTGGCTGAGCAGCCACGCGGCAGTAGTGGGGGCTATTTGTGCACAAGTTCATCCTCCGTTCCCTGGGGGGGGTCACAGTCACAGCCCCCAGGCATGGAGCGGTTAGGAGGACTTGAAGGAAGACTTCGATGTGAAGAGCTGAGAAGAATCACCTGCAGAGCCTAAGGGTGCAGCGAGGGCTAGGCTTTAGGATTCTCTTCCTAACCTGTGTGTAGGACTCACAGCAGCTGTTGACGTGTTCCCCGTGAGGGGCTTGCATCCACCTGCCAACCCCCGGCAGCTGCCGAGGGGTGAGCCCCGCCCCTGATATCAAGCTCTACACAAGGGACCTTGATATGCTGCATTGATTTACCCCACTTTTTCTTACCGGGAGGGAGA